CTCAGTTTGGCCACTCGAGGCATTCGCCTCTCGGTATAAAATTTTGCCGATGCTTTTTGTTTTTATCACTAACACCATCTTAGCTTCTCAGAGCAAATTTCGTAGGAGACTTCCTTCGTAAAAAATATATATACTATTATATACTATATAAAATAATATCAAGAAACTAATAACTAGAGTGTTATTGAGGTGTTAGGGCCATTATTCTGTTAGTTATATGAAATGTGAAAATTGGACAAAGCCATTGATAACTAAGTTTACTTATTGGTTTGAATTATGATATATACATACAAACACACACAAATATGACAACAAACGTTGCAGCAAATTTGAGAAGGACATCAATAAGTATGAAATAAGTTGAAATTTGTTTTTTACTGTTTGCAATAAATGTTTGTAAAGATTTATCTGCCTCAAGAGAGTTCAATATTTTAGTGCCAGCAAATAATATTGATAAAACACTGAGTCACATCAAAAAGAAAATGACTATAAACAAGAAAGCAGAATCGCACAAAAATAAGAAAGCTTGCGTAACTAGAAAAGAACCCAAAGAAGTGACTTTTTGCGCTTGTCAACAAACATCCCAAGGATTTCATTCTAGTACCAATTATAAGTTTAATTACTTTCTCACAACATTTGTGCGTTCAATTAACGGTGATAATCTACTACAGGTTAATGGGAAAAGGACAGTAGGCGCACACTTAATCAGCATTGCATTGTAAAATTAAAGAATACCACTAAACTATTACATACAGCAATAGTAAGTACAAAAACAAGTCAAAAGGAAAAGTTCCCAGAATTCCAGTCGAGGGTGGTTAAAAATTTGTAGATTCTTTAATACAAAGTTTCACTTTGCTTTTGATACAGATTTTAATTGTGCCACTTTGAAGTACGACGCAACTGAGCACAGATTTTAACCCAGGATTGGTTTTATAAAACTAATTTACTTTACCAAATTTGATTTTTTATTTCTTCATTTTGTTTTAACGTATTCATTGTTATCGTCTTCAAACTCCAAGAGCATCCAACATTTATTTTAATCCTCAATTCTTTGTTGTATAGAAACAATAACTTTGCCGCGTATATTTTACGGGTCTTTGCAGATGTCAGTGTTTCGTAATCCACTACCAGTATGACTGAATGCAAATACACTATACTTAACAATGGTCGGCTGTCCAAAAGTTTTTAATATAACAAGATATAAGAGAGGTTCTCAAATTGGAATTTATAGATGTGAGTTTGTTGTGTCGTCAGGTGATAATTGATCAGCCAATCACCACACAGATAAGGAACGAATTTAGACCACAGAARCAATTAAGTTGTCAAAAATAAAGTATCGACGTCAGTGAGACATCTACATATCAATTATTACCGAACTTCATCTGAAAAATTTCGATGTTTATTGGAACAGAAATTAAAACATTAGGCGATATTTACACTTTCCTTGGATCGTCGTTACACGAATTTTTTTCAAAAATTTATTTTCAGTTGACGAAGTAACGAGGATGCAAAAAAAGCTAATTTTCCTAAGCAAGAATAAGTCTGCATTTTGTAGACACTTTTAAGCCAGCCCCCCTATTTACTCTGGGATGTTCTTGATGTACTGTAAGTCATGTTAACCGCCATGAACAACTTCAATGTAGTCATGGATTATAGATATACAGGCAATCTTGTTAAAAATGCTAATATTTACTAGTTCTATGATCGTAAACATTGCCACCGTTGACTTGAAATCAGCTTAAAAATCTCATAGCTTATTAAAACCCTAATTACATTCATGGTAAAGAGTCCGGTGGACACCTGGGTTTTTATTCGCTTGTTATCCAATCACTGTACCTGCCAGAGCAGCCTTCGTGATACTACAAATATTGAATGGGCATAGAAACAAAAGTGCTTTCTATTTGACCAGCTTCAAATTCACCTTAAACACAAACTCGTGCAGGCTGGAGAAGACATTTTTTTGGTAAGTGACATTGAATTCTTTCAAGTGTACGAGATACGCTATATTAATTTAAACTAGAACCAGGTGCCGGAATTAACTATTATTTTCAAAATAGCAACTGAAAACAGTTATGTGCAAAGCCAACATGATAAATTTAAACAGAAGAGAACGATGAACGTCAAATGTGAACTTCGCAATAATGACAATGTTACTCAATGTCTAGAAGTAATAAAAACATATTAATTTATCATGGTTTACAAGTCCCTGAGGCTCGTTGAGTAAGTGCTGGTATTAAAACCAACTCTACTGTTAGCATTCACTGTAGACATCAATATCTTAGAGCGATATTTTAAGTTTATTTTACACTCAGAAACAAAATGACTTCCGGTTGCAATGTGAATTCTCAGTTTCAAGTGAGTACCACTAACATGGAAGCTCATGTCTGTTTTTAGAAAATAGCCAGCGAAATTTGCTTAATCGAAGGAGAGGGTCGTATTTTGAGTGTTACTCCGTATAGATGGTTGACGTCCAGTTGTTTTAACAAACATTAACCAGGCAATCAAGGATATTCTATTAATAACAATCACTCCAATTGATCATCATCAACTGTTATCAGGGTGTGTCACGTGATTCAAACCAAAGGTCTCGAAGACCTTTTCTCCAGTTTCCTTTCTGGCCTTTCATCGTGTTTTTTTCTTCTTTTTAAATCACCAATTTCCGAAAATTTATCACTAATCTCGAGCTTCTCTGCTGCACTTCTAAATCAAATTTACAGATCGCAAATACGAATCCAAAGTTGCCGTTACCATTGGTAATGTCTACAAAATTCCCAGTACAATTCTGCCATCAGTTTCATCAGAGATCGATCCTAAATTTTGGGATTTTTATCACTTATTTCCCAATTTCTTCAAAATGTTCAAAATTCTTTGTCAATTCAAAAGCGCAATTTCAGAAATTTCTGTCACTTTAATTAACCCTTTCCAATTTCAGTTTATCTGACAACTACATATTTGTGGTTCGACATGTATCATAATTTTGCGACCAARAAAATCTGTCGCCAGCCTAACGCGGCCTGCTATGGTGAATTGAAAGCAATCGGAATTGATTATTTAGTCTGGAGATTAATGGTTAAGCTATGAAAATTTAAGAACCTTAAAACATTATTGAACAGTTGGAGAATACTGTATAGTAGTAGCTCATACAATAATATAGTTTTAAATAATAATAATGGAAAAGGTATTCCATTTTTTTGAGTTTTATATATTGCCTAAATGAACATGTATCAACATGTATGAATATTTGTGAAAAAAACTTTGAAATTCCCTATAATACTGAAATTTGTGAAAAAGCCTTTAGGAACCTTTAAAGGCGTCACATAGGATAAATTACCCAGGTTTCGAGATGTTGATTATCAACCAAAAGTAGGATCTTAATAAGTAACTAATAATAGCCAACTTCAGATATTTTGGTTCAGTGACCATGCACAAAAGAATTGCAGACGAGGCTCCAAGGAAATAAAAGAATAACAGGAGCCTCTTGTGCGTTCTTTTGTTCATAGTCATCGAACCAAAATATCTAAAGTTGACTATTACCATACCATAACACACCACGGGTATCACAGACGTTTAATTAAATCACTCKATCATGATAAAGTAGTTAAGGGCGTTAAGAGTGGGGGGGCAATATTATAWAGCATAAAAGTACTTGAAATTAACTGTCAGTCATGTCGATATCACTACACAGGAATCCCAATAAGGATGTCAAAATGCTCCTCAAACTTCATGGCTGTCATGGCCGGCCGAGAACACAGTTCGACGGGCGACTATTTGTTTTTCCGAACATCAAATTTCCGCGGGAGACTGTCATGCGACATGATGCCTTCGAATGACAATGTGCAGCGACACCATTTTAGGCAAMAAAGCATGATGGGAAGTCCTAGTACTTCTGTACATCAACTTCGTTCCTAGGTCCTTATCCCTTTGCTTGGGTGAAGGGATAAGGGCCTGGGAACGAGGTTGTTTGTACATTTGGCAAATTTAGTCCTGTAAGTCAGGTTTTRTGCTTTACAGAAAAGGGAAAGATATTTGCATCTTTGTCAAGAAATAATGAAAATAGATTTTGCGGAGTATTTTAATAGATATAAAAAACGAGGACTATATTTACCGTCATGCCTTGCTCTAGAAAATGACATCACTGTACATTTGCTGTTGCTGATTAAGGATAGTATAGGACAGATTATGCAGACCGAGTTGTGGTTAGTTATGTGACGAACACGTCAGCTTATTAAGAAGTAGAGAATATCATGTGTTTGAATCGTTAAATTTCAATTCTAAAAACATATATTTCTATAGTAAATATAAGAATACATTAACATAAGATACGAATGTGTTGTTGGTTCATGCAATTTCCTTGCAGTATGAAGAACTTTAGGAAAATAGTTTTTTAGGACAACGGCTTTGCWATTACTATGACAACATCTATTCAAACTAGCTGATCATGACTTAAACAATGACCATCAAAGAGGAGCTAACCATAATCCTTCGCGCTCCTCTGTTTATGTTGTGAAAATTTATATCAAATCTATAAGTTTTTGGTTTTCTCTCTCTCTAAATATATAGCCACGCTAGCCTTGCGTTCCGTAAGTCAGAGTCACGTTTCTTAGCTTGCGGGTGCGTAAATTTTGCTGCTTTATTCATATTTTTTGYTTGTTTATGTGTCATTCTTCTTCTTTGCCCTTTTCCTTGTCATTTTAAGGAGTATTTTATTTTCATTATGCATATAGTCGAAAATGGAATTATCCACCACGACTGCTGYTTCCTATTCTACTTTCTTATTTTTCTTACTAAATAGGACAATTTTATTCACAAGTTGAATGGCATTGTTTGAATAAAGGTGAGAAGTTTGAAAACAATTGAGGATATCTGTCTCCCAGGAGACAGGTGAAACTCAATGCAAGCATTTTCCATCTACATAGCGGTTACCTAGCAACCAATTATGTTACTTTGGAAGTCTGCCATAGCTAACGTGACAAAAATAAAAGCTACAACAGTTAAAAATATTGAAATGAAGTACAGACACATTTTCAATATTCTAAAAGGCCAGTCACTTGTTCATAAGGTCGAAATGATGTAATCATGGCTAGTCATTTGGTTGTTATGCTGTAAAGTGTTGCTCAAACACAGCTTACTGAAACAGAAAAGGGCTTTAAAAATTTCCATGGTATTTTGAAAAACATGGCATATTCAGTTTGAATTCATTGTTAATTTGTGTACAGATAATGGAGGTCTTCTGGTGAGTTTAAACGTCGAGAGAAACAGTTTAACACTAAGGAAGCTAACTGCCACTTAATAATTAGAAAACGAGCAAGACACCCTGATGCGGTTACAAGGTACTAAGTTGTATAAAATTAATACAAAGTTCGTACTCTAAACAATGAACCAGATGAAGATATTTGCATTTCACTCTGAAAACCATATTCATCCATCTCATAAAACGAAATTTCTAAAAAAAATGCTTAATATATCCAATCAATTAATATTGGAATACGTATTTGTGGGTGATGACGCGACATGTCCCTTTTAAAGCGGTTTTTTAATGGCTTGCAATAATGGTTAAAAGGTTTTTGTTTACTTTGTAGGGGAACATGACGGCACGCTGGTCGACATGATTCGTCTAAGAAATCTTAAAGAAATTCACAGGAAGTAGATAAACTAGGCCATTATACCCACCAATGAACAACTGATAAACCATCAAAATAATTGCCCTGCTATAGCCAGAAAAGTTCTCAAAAGACTACCATAAAAACAGACAAAAAAAGGCTGGACGAGAGTTTGTCTTCAATTTTAATTCTTTAAGTCGTAAGGTGTTTCACAGAAAATTACAAGTTTAACAAGCGAAGTAAAATTGAAAMTACTTAAACGCAGGTGCACCAAACTAAATTGAGAGTTGTCTAAATGGGTTAATTGTTGACTTCTATTGGAGAATCATTACAAATGGAAATGTTGTCGGGTAAATGATCTAGCAAGGTGCTTCTGGAAGTGAGATTAGCAGTACCGCATTATACAAGGATCATCAAAAGTTCTTCGAGGTTTGCAACTTTTTAACAATTTAAAACCACAAAGATCTGCAAGTTATAGCCAGGTACAGATTACAAAGTGCAGCAAGAAACGAGTTTCTACGCAACAGCCTTCTTTATATTTCCATACAACAATCGTTGTTGGCCTCTRCGTTGGTCCGTTACAAGTAAAAAGACAATTGAACTTGCTTCCAAAGCTGTGCTTACACCATGCATATGAATGTTGGTGCTTCGATTGTCCCATACAATAACCCTGATGACCGTAGATCAAGTTGGGTCGAGCAATTGGATATCTCAGGAGTCCATCTTTCTTCTTATCACGACTTTGAACAAAGGCGAGCAAGTAGGGCGCCTTTGTATTTGCGAGATTGTTCCGATATACCACTAGGTCGACGCGAACGGTCTACAGCAACAACTCCTGAACTTTCTGAACGAACGCGAATTCGCATAAATGTGCGAGGAAAAAAATACGAAACGTTCAAGTCTACTTTAGATAGATATCCAGAAACACTACTAGGCTCAGACGGTGGCAGAGATCGATTCTACGATGACATTAATAAAGAACTGTGTTTTAACAGAGATCCCAATTCATTCGATGCAATACTTTTTTTCTATCAATCTGGAGGTATTCTAGCGAGACCTTCCTCMGTCGAGGAAGAGCTCTTTGACGAGGAAGTAAAGTTCTTTCATTTGTTTAATGAAAGCAGCGTGGAAGTAAGTGAGAGTTTAGGTTCTATTCCTGACGAACTTATCCCGTTTTTCCCACATGGAGATACTAGAAGGGAAGTTCTTTGGAATATCCTTGAAAGACCTCCGGAGTCGCGCTTCGGGCGGCTTTTCGCGCGGATTTCATGGGTGATTATCCTGTTATCTGTCATTGCTTTCTGCCTGGAAACAGTTCAGCCTTTGAAAACCTTGTCTGTAGTCATGACTACGTCAGCTCCTCGTAAAAACTACACTCGTGTTGGTATTAATGGGACAAGCATCCCCCGGACCACCACGTCACGTGATGCGTCAACTAATCCAGTCAGCTTTTGGTTTTTCGTTGATACAATGTTTGTAATATTTTTTACTTTGGAATATTCTGCAAGAGTTTATTCAGCACCCAATCGACTCAAATTCATTCGTTCATTTTTATCAGTTGTTGACTTTTGTGCCATAGCACCCTATTACATCCTCCACATTGCCAACGAAGGACAATTCAACAGCATCAAATCATTCAACGTCATTCGGTCAATACGCCTATTCCGTGTTATAAGACTGCTGAAGTTATCTCGCTACAGTAGCGGGCTCAAGCTCCTTGGACGTGCATTGTTTAGGAGTAGAGGAAAGATGTTGTCCCTRTGTTGTTGCATTGCAATGGCGGTTGTGTTCTACTCAGGGCTGCTATATTATATTGAAGGTTATCAAGATGATAACGTATTTTCCAGTATTCCCAATGCATTCTGGTTCTGTATCGTTACCATGTCTACYGTAGGCTATGGTGAYGTAGTGCCAAGAACACCACCAGGGAAACTAGTTGGTTCCTGCTGTGCTTTGACTGGAATCATTTTACTGTACATTTTACCGATTCCATCATTTGTAACTGACTTYAGTGAACTGTACAATAAATGGCGACGAGCTAAAGGGAGAACTAAAGCTGAAAAAGCCGGCGCAAAAAAACACTCGAGAATGAACTTGTCCTTATGGTGAAAAATATATTTTACAACAAAAATWAGAGAAAATGAGATACACAAAATRAAATAAATGGAGCGACTTTAAAATTCCCCGTCACTCTGAAAGCATTAAAATTATGTTGGTCCGCGGTCATCGCAAAGATCCATGGCCAATGAAATCTCCTTTTTAAAGAACGAAAAAATTCCTACTAACCACTGCCACCGCGGTCTGCGGTGAGATATATAGTGCTCGCTATGATGGCTGGGTAAATTATCCCCTTAGACTTATGAAGACCGAGAAATGGGTTTTCTATGGTACATGTTTGGACCAGAAATCATTGCAGGCACTACGTAATCGTACCGCGGTGGCAGTGAATTTCGATAATTATAAAGTGATAGGGTATTCTAAAGCTTAGCCAACAGAAAGAGTAAAAAAATATACAAAAAGAGATAATATAAAAAAAGCACATAGTCGTCGACGCAGACAGACACTGAGCTACAGACAGGCAGCTCCACGTCAGACAACAAAGAACAAATAACTGTGGACCCCAAATAACAGAATTAAAAGCGAGTTTTTGACAATTTAGCGATATTAATAGTGGTACGCCGTTCGTTTTCAGCGTGGTTTGTTTTTCTACGCATCTTAAAAAAACAACTTTGAAAACAGATAACTTCAATTTCGCAAAGCCACTGACTGGYATAATAAAATAAATAAATTACTTTATTAACGTCTCAAATCGCTCTAGCAAGACAACAAGTGTCTTTACTATAATTGAGGAGACTCATACATATACCCTACCTCAACATTGACTGCTTTAGCATACGACACTACTCACAGCTAGTTTTTGACTGAGGGGGAGGAAAACGAGCGGACCTGGAGAAAAACCCTCGGAGCAAGGAAGAGAACCAGCCTACAAACGCAAATCACATATAGTCCCGGACCGGGAATCGAACCAGAACCGCAGCGATGATARACCGGCCATCCTTGCTCCCCACAGTAGTAAATCAATAGTAAAATGTCAGTAGTAAAATGTTATCAATACCATGATACACCTCGCAAAATCAGAATGACATCATAAGGGTAGCATAGAATACTAAACCTAGATTTATGTTTGCTGGTCGAGCTTCCTTGCTRGTGAGTTTATATTTTTTGTCGTGCTGATTGCACGCCGCGTATATCCGTGGAACAAACAAGTCCAAAGACTTGCAAATGGTTTTTCAGATACAGCGTCAGTGTCCACACACGTCCCCAAGCGAACGGTCGTATTCTTGAGTTTCAGTTACGTCATCACCATTTTTATTTTACTCACATTAAAATATGACATTTATATCCTTTTAGATCATAAAAAGCTACATAGTTTGACATTTTAGGATTGTAGAGCGTTTGGTTGCGGAATTATTTGCAATTGAAGAAACGCAAAATTTGGTTAAAATGTAAGGAGAAAACGGTGGTCACATCTGACTACCGTCTGGGGATTTAAAGGCTTACAACGACAGAAATTTGAACTTTTTTGACATATTTCGTAGAAAATGTTTACAGTCAATAAAAAATGTTTCTGTAATGAGGCAAACAATGTGTGGACTCAGATGTTTTTGAATCCGGATATTAAAAAAAAAAATTCGGAAAGAGAAATCTCTGGACTTGTGTGGAAGAAGTCATTATAGTTATTTCTTCCATCAGACTTCGTCATAACAAAAACACCTTAATCAATATTGTTTGAACTTTTCTCTTTCAGTGATATCAACTACTAGTTTTATCCTATTGCAGAATACCTTTTGTTKCAAGGATTTACGTCGCGCATCCATCAAAAGCGTCGAGTACTGAATACTTTTATAGTATATAAATATCGATATTCATTCCACGTGCCATTACTAAATGACACTTCTAAAATATACTGCCTCACCGAAGGTATATTCACTGAAAAACTCAAGACTCGAGCGGCTTGATACGACGACCAACAATGCATTTCGGTATTCACGACTTTCCATACTCAGGTTCAGTGACCACGAACAAAGCATTGAACCGAAGCGTCTCAGGGAACACTGATCACAGATCTTTTCTTTTATGCTCACTGTACGTGGTCACTGAACCTGCGTATGGAAAGTCGTAAATACTATCTTCAGTGCTCAACATGACTTCTGAAGGACCTGTATGCTGCTCTACTACGTTAAATCCTCACGTGCATACGAGACCATTTGCGCGATTTTCTCACGTATGAAAATAGCCAGTTTTGATTTTTAATCAATCAGAAAGCAATTTTCAACAACTTTTTCAAAAGAAAGCAAACGATCGCAAAGGTTCTTGGGTGCAAGTGGGCTTTGATTGAGATAGGCATATCCAAAAAATATCAAGAGCTCGATACAATTATGATAGTTAATTCATTTTAATTTTCTATCCAGAAGCTATTATCTATACAACGTATTTTTAATAGAATTCTAAGTGTCATTAAAAAATTGCAATGCAATACACACTTGTACTCATGACGCATTTGAGCCTGCAGTAAGGCGGGACAAATTGTAATAGACTTCTGAACCTTTTACGTCTTTTACGTCACTACGTATACTTGATTTGCAATGCATTGTGGGATCMGTTTCTAGAGAAAACAAAAKAAATCCGCCAYWTTCKGTCTCAAACATRTCCTACAATGCATTGCGTATAAGGTACATGGCGTAAAAGCTTTAGAGGTCTACTATTGTGTGTTATATTGATGGAAGCATGATCTCGATTTAAATATTCACTCCACAAAGTATGAAGTGAGGAAATGGAAAATTTAATATAAAAAGATATCAATAAAACATCGAAAGATAAAATAACCCTCAAA